CCACAAAGCATGGGCCAGGGTTGGACTTCTCCTGGAGGAAGGAGGAGAACAACCACAACACTGTGTCTCCCACTTCTAACTTTCTGAGCCAGTCCAAAAGGATATCATGACTGATGGTATTGAAAGCCTCTCAATATCAACTACAGACTGGAGTGACCAGTCTCACCAGTGCTGTAGTTTTATTCAGGTCACCACCATCAGCACCACCAAGTACTTAACAATAGATATCATCCCTGCCACTAGGCAAGTATTCACAGCTGCTGCATAAGCACTTAGCACCACTGCTTCCACCATTTTGCAGCTTAGCACCAAGCAGTTGATCAACAGTACTTCTAAGTAAGCAAATGTAACTGTTCAACAGCTGATCAGCAGTACTGCTGTTGCTGCTCCTTAATGGGTATAGCCAGTTCACATTTTGTCCAGCTCCTGGACTGATTCTGATGATGCCAGAAATTTCCGGGATCCTGCTCCCTGCAGGGCCACTCCTTGCAAGCCAATCTGGCAACATTGATCATTTCAACCTCCACCACTACTGTGGTCAAAGTTCTTAAAAGCTGCCAACAGTTCCAGTGGCACCAGAAGACTTTCCACTCCATCCAGAGCTATTTTCTTCATCTACCAACCTTCTTAAACATATGTACTAAACCATCTAAACTCTGGTTTCACACACTATCAACTTGCCTCTGTGCCCTTACAAATAAAAACAACGCCACCACTCTCCCGGCATGCTCTTTTATTAATGGCATAATTTTTCCTTACTGAGACCTTAATGAATAACTTTGATTTTTTAAATGAATCTTAATCTGACTGACTGGTTTACCTGTGCTAAGACACTGCACAGAATCCTCAATAAATATAAACCCTCAATATGAAGACAAATTCAAAATACAGACAATTTTAATAACTCTAGATGTAGTCAAAATGATGCAACCCGCTTAGCAAAACTCAAGAAGAAAATATTTAAGGTTTTTTTCAATATCGTAAAAAATAAGTCCAAATATTTTGGAATTCCAAAATATTCCAAAAATAAGTCCAAATAATTTGGAATAAATTCCAAATATTTTGGAATTATTCTTTTTTTTAAAAAAAAGCAGACAGTGATTAACAGGCAGTTTTGTCCCTGTGCAACCAAGACTAATTTTAGTACCAGCCTATCTTTTTGCAGGTTAGGGAGTACCATAGATAGCAGTTCATATGGACTGCAATCCCATCTAATCTTGTGGCCCTGGCATAAAAAGGAAATTTTTCCCAAATTCATATTGTCTTCTACGGCCAGAGCATTCTAAAGATTTTGAACTTGCCCCATCAGAACATAGAACACTTAAACCATTCCAGTGGAATGTTTCAGTGGGCTGTTGGTCCTTGACCCAAAAAAAAAACACATTTCCCTTTTCAGCTCATGCTTAGTTTTTAACTTTAATTAGAAATGAAAAGTACATAGATTCAAAATACTGGGCCCAAACTAAATGCACACATACATACTTGATTAGTGTTTGCCAGTGATAAGGCCAAGCTATCTATCATAGATCCAACCTAAACTGTTCCTTCTCAGTTTATCACCATGACAGCAAATTCTCCCAGGAGCTGCTATATAACCATGGAGCAGCCAAACTTGGTACTGTTATGCCTGGTCCTCTCAACAATGTTATGCTATAAAAATCAGAGACTAAATCCTACAGTGGTACTAAATATCATTATGTGAACCCCAAATAAACAAACAGACTGACAGACAGCTAGATCCATGGTATAGTAAGCATACTGTTTCTCAAGGTAGCATGCAGACATAGCTTACCTGGGATGCAAATTGCCTCTATAACTCAGAAAAGAGCCACAAGACAGAAGGAGAAAACTAGGAAGGCAGAGCAGCCAAATCCTGTGTTAAGAATGCTAATGCAAATGGAACTGAATGCAATTCTGGGAAACACAGAAACATTCCATTTTCCCTCCAGGCCATGGTAATCTGACTTCCAGGAAACTCTATTCCCGAGTCTGGGAATAGAGGAACCTCTTACAGTTTGGGATTAGGAAACAAAAAACAAAAATTTGTTTTGCACTAGTTGCTCTCATTTCATAGACATATTTTTTTGGTTTGAGCTCAGGTAAATATTGCTCCTACAGTAGCAACTACTGCTTCAGACCCAGTCAGCTCTCACTCATATTTTAGATAGAGCAGTAAAAACTGCTAGCAGTATTATAGCATTTTTATGCCATTACTCTAATTGTTAAATATAATAAGAAAAAAGTTGCAAAAGGTCAAATATATATAAATATTCCCCTCTCACCCCTATGGGTGGTATGTGTCTTCCTCAATCTCAGGTCCTCTACCAGAGGCCTGGGAGTTTGAGGGTTCTGTGCAGGGTCTTAGCTGTTCCTAGCACTGCACTCTTCTGGGCAGAGAGCTGTGAGGTTGTTCCTGGGATCTGCTGGAGCCACTCTCCCAGCTTAGGAGTCACAGGCCTGAGTGGTCCTACCACCACTGGGACCACTTTGGCCTTTACTTTCCATATACATACATTCATACATACATACATCTGTCCTTCTCCCAAAAAAGTACGCTTTTTTTGTTTCTATCTTTGTAAGAAATTCATTATTAGACTGGTGGAATTTATGTTACAAAAGTCTGGGAAATTAATGATACACGAGATTGAGATCACTGATTGTGGGCACGCTATTTATTCTTTTAAAAAAAGGTAAAAACCCAACTCCCCTGTATACTGAAATCATAGATGACAAATAGGAAAACCCATACTACTCTTTCAAAAGTCATATTACCTGACCATGTTTGTGTGTGTAGGTGAGAGAGAGAACAGCTTCTTTTTTTTTTTTAACTATTTAGCAATAAAAGAAGGAAAATGAAAGGTCTGTTTTCAAAATGGACAGAAGCCCTTTTTGCTAACAGAATTTTAGTGATTAGTGAGAAACAACAGTATTAAATAATAGAATTACCTTCATAATTGGGATAGTTGTAGTAGGCAAAGTGATTCCTTCTCCCTGGGATTAGAAAACACATGCACAGGACCCAGGTGAAGGCAGCATCAGCAGGACAGATACCATGCAGAACATGCGGAGGAGGGCAGAGAAAAGAAAAGATAGGAAAGAGTGAAATTGTAAGCCAACAACACTTACTCAATTTAAAAGGATGCAGTGCTTTTAATACTTTCAACTTTAAAAACTGCACAGAATATATAGACATTGGTGTTGTGGATGGATTAATACGATTAAGTAGTTGGCAACAAGCTGCTAGAAGAAAGCACAGAAAAATCACCAAGCAAAGTGGAAAGGCCATAACTGATTGTATACAGACTAGAAAATAACTTCATGTTAGAGTTCCATTTCATTATATTCACTGCTCTGTCTTTCATCTGTTTATTTTTGCAACCATACCAGCATACTATAATATACTGTATAAAAAGAGAGTCCTCTAATTATATATCCACCAAACACTAGCTTATAGGCACAATAACAGAATATCAGAATGCTGTTATATGTGATATACGCTATATTGAAAGTTATGTCTTATGCTGAGAAAACCTGCCCATTAAAAGGAGCACATGTCCTATCACATGTGAAAGGGGTATAAATTTATTCTGCTTTCAGTAGTATAGTAACAAAGATATGAACCATGGAGCCCACTGAGTGATTTTGGGGCAGTCAATTTCTCAGGACAGCCCACATTATTTATTTCTGTGAGAATGAAATGAGGGAAAATCTCCATCTACCCTACTTTAAGCTGCCAGAAGAAAGGCAATGTATAAATGCAATAAATAAATAGGCATGGAACATGACAACTAACTGCTCAGTCAGCATACTAATTGCAATACAAAAGTCATATCCCATTTCCTCTGTCTACGAATAATTCCATGCATTACAAGTACTGCAGATTAAGGTAATCTTGCTGACATATGTAGATTCCCTAGTCCTCTGTTATACGCAGGGAAAGCTCAGAACAAGATTAATTTGTTGTTGCTTTTTTAATATTACGTCTAGAAAAGGATACATCTGTTTGGATAAGATTCCTTTTCAATAAATAATTGCCCTACGTATCTCTTAAGGGAGAGAAAAACTGCCGAAGAATTAGAATTATCTTCAATATCACATTTTTTTATTCTAAAAAGCATGGGACTAGGATACTGTTTGACCAAATTTCTATTAAAAACTACTATTAATATAGTTACATGACATAATATATGTAAAAGAAAGTTTACTGACTAAAATATTTTCAATCTATAGTATGATTCAATCCATGATCAAAGCTCTCAAATTAAATACATAATTGCTCCTATTAAAAGACTGAAAAGTATTTTTATTCCTCTTTTCAATTAAAAAAAAACATTTCAGAACTTAAAAACAGAATAGTAATACAAAAGGAAGTCAGTGACAATAGTAAAAGATAACAGATACCAAAGCACAAATAAAAAAACAAGGTTAAAACGAAAATCAAAACCTTCATTAGAAAAATCTTAATGAATATAAGGCAGTTACTTGTGGGGAAAGTATTCTAACTTGCAGGATGGCACATTAAAACAGTACTTCCCTTTGTCAACCCTCTATTTGATTTCATATTGCAGGGACATCGAGAGAGATCTCCAAAAATGATCTCAACAAACAACATGGGCAAGCTTGATGTTGGAAAAGGTAAACCCTTCAGGTATTCGGTCCCCAAGCCATTTAGAGACTTAAAGGCAAAGGCAAACAGTTTGGATTGTATTTGGGAACAGACCAGAAGCCAATGTAGTTGTAAAATCAGCTCTGGAAAAAAACAAAGTTCCTATTGTGTGGTCTCAGCAACCTAACAGATACAATACATGTTCAGTTAACCACAGTTTTAAGGAAATCTTCAAGCAAACCTGGAATTTCTTTAAATGATTAATTTTCTTCTTGCCATTTCCCTACACATCCAAATCAGAAACATTAAAAGAAGAGTCACACATTATTTTTTAAAAAGAAGATATTATACATTTAATATATGAAGTATATTTTAAGTATATTGTAAGAAAAGCATTCCAATAAAATCCTGGTATCAATACAGTTTCAGTAAAATGTGGAGGTCAAGAAAATCTGGATGAGGAATATTATACATAATACAGTGCACATAATACATGCACATGTTAATGTATGCATATGCATCTACAGTATATGCCTATGAAAATGGATAGGAAAAGAATCCAGATTCTTTACTCTTGAACCTTTCAACATTACAGACAAGCCTAGATACAGTACATGTTAGCATTGTGCAATGCTGCTTTCTACTTTCAGTAGATTTTTCTTCACTTACATACATTTTTTGTCTCACTCTTCTTTCAAAACTCATGTTTTTAATCAGACAAAATGGTGAAAAAGACAATATGAGATAGCCTTATCCCTAGGTACTGTGGACACCTTCCCTAACATACACAGAGAAAATATATTTGATTTGATTTTTTTAAAAACAGCATGCTGCAGAAATAAAATCCTAAAGCCTCAAGTATATTTATTTCAAAGAAAGTTTTTCGCCCAATATATACTTTGGAAGTTCAATAAGCCTGGAGAGTTCTTTGGAAGTACAATAAGCCTGGGGAGAAAAAAAAAAGAAGGTAAGAGTAGAGAGCATCAAGGAAAAGTAGAGATGGTGTTCAGGAGCAGTATCACAACTTCATCTTCTGGTAAAAGGGTAGTTTGTAACTGACCATGGTCATCAGTGCCAGCAATTTAGTGGGAGTCCTATAACATGCTGTCAACATTCCAAATCTCACCCAGTGCAAAAAGGTTGGGGTTTTTTGGCCTAGGCTGAGAATCTGTGACTGACCTAATTTGTGACAAGCCCAATGCCAAGGTGAGTTTACTGATGAGAAACATCCCAAGGCCATTACCTTTCATGATATCACAATGTATCTTAAGTAGCACTGATAATCTCCACATGCTATAGCATCAACATTCCTTAAAACTGTGCACTGCTACCTAATGCTTTACAAAAGAACTGTTCAGTACTTCTGTTACTAAATTTATACGACCACACTGTTCGTATAGGAATCTTTCATGCGCTTTCCCTTGTCAGCCCTCTGCCCTTATCTCCTTAAAATCAATCTCTTACTTTTAATAGGCTCTGCCACATTTCTGCTGCAATCATGTCAAATACGCCTGATGCACAGTCACAGAACCTTTCTTCAGAACTGTCCTAAGTCTTTCAACAAGCCAAGACACTGTAGTTGTTCCATTTTAATCGGAAGTTATGTCTTATCAGCGATCATGCAAACATATAGAGTGAATACAATCAATTATCATTTAACACGTTCTAAAAGCAGGAATTTAGAAATATGGAAGTGACACGTGCTTCTAATTTTATAAGAGAAATAATTTAATATTTCAATAGCACCTTATAAAATAATGACTAAAATACAAAGGTGTTTGACTGTGTCTGAAAGAAATATTCTGTTCTAGGATGGCTCATGTTAAACTTCAACATAAAATAATGGGGGAAGGGTATGAAACTGAAATTATTCTTATGTATGAGGAAATACTTTCACTGTACATACTTGACTACTTATTCAGCACTATATGAATTCTTGTACAACACTTATAGTATGTTAGAAACAGCTATTTTTCTTCTGCTGATAGATCTTTAAAATTAGCCTGGTACTTAGGCTAAGCACAAAATACTTTAACTAGATGGCTCAGAATGTAAAACTATAAAATAGATGTAGCGTAAAAAATAACAACTATAATAAAGCTTTAAACCAGGAGTCTCAAACTCATGACCCATGGACTGCATACAGCTAAGTCACCCCCTCTGCCCTCCAAGTCATTTTCTGTGGTCCACAAGCCCACTTTGTAGGCACTAAAGATGCTGCCCAGCAAGGCATGGGCACTGAGAACTATGTAAACACACATGCTGGATCATGGGATGCTCTCCAGGAAGAGGAGTGGCCTGGCAGCATCACACCTCAGCCCAACCCAGTGGACCTCCCAGCAACAGCAGGCCCTGGTTGCCTGGATCAAGCCATCAGCACCTTGAGGGCTTGTGCAGAGCAGTCCTGCCCTCCAAGACCCCCCATCCCCATCTCATGTTCTGTGGCAGGCACTGCTTCTGAGGAGACAAATCCTCCACACAGAAGCAGCAGGGAGATGAGGCTGGGCCAGGAGAGACTTGTTTGAGGCAAAGGCTGTCTGAGAGAGGGAAGGAGGCAGTAGGTGAGGAGGAGGTCATCTTTGCTCTTTCACCACAATGGTCTCTGCTAGGCAAGAAGTAGGAAAGACAGTGAGCAAATAAGCAAGATCTCTTTGACAGGGGAAGGGAGGGACGAAGGACTGACTCTGCAAGGCAAGGAGAGAGAAGGGAAAGCAAAGCAAGATTTGGGCATCTCTAGTGGAATGGGTTTCCTAGATTATATCATCCCAGATATGATCTTGAAAAAATATTATCAACCCAGGAGTAAAACCAAACACTGGTTAATGAAAAACTGCCAATTGTACCCAAAGTAAAGTGGTTGTGTTTCAAAGTAAAGTTTTTATTTAATACATTTATCTTTAACGGAATATTGTGGTACACTTCATTCCCAACTCATCAGGGACATTTATATCAATGTATGAAAAGACTTCATACATTTCAATGTTTGAAAAGTTGTTATGAACCTTAAACTAATGACCTTTTCCTTGTGGAACACTTCTTTGATTATTTGAATTGAGAACCTGCTTTAATTAAGCTAACACAGTTAAAATTTAAGGAAACTATTTTACTATTGCTACACTTCTGAAGCACAAAGATTTTATACAATATATTTGTAACAACTCTTGTTCTGGTTCTGTGTATAGCTTATCTAACATAAATATAACATTATGGGAAAATGCTCCAATGGCTTTCTCTAGCTATCCCTGGAAGACACAATTAGAGCATCCTCTATCCCTCTTCTTTTCTATAAAGCAGTACAAATCACATTTACACATCCCAGGCTGGAACTCTCAGAAATTGTCAAGAGTAATTCTGAAAGCCAATCACTCTAAACACAAATAATATTTTAATAACATAATTCTTACCTGGACTTAGTTCAACCAGATAAGGTAGCTTCTCAGGGGGAAGAGAAGAGCCATAACCAGACCTGTCAATTCTTTCCTTTCCTTTTAATAGCTTTACGTCAACTTGCTTCTTCAACTTCTTTGGGACATAATCAGGTGGCCGCCTTTTTAACTGAAAGACTAATATTCCTAAAATACAAAATCACAAACAGATCATTTAATACTGACCTGAAAAATAGAAGCATAAATTAACTACATTAAATGGCCAATCGTCAATGCTGTCATAATGTCGCATTACAAAGTTACAGCCACTTCACTACAAAATCAAATTATATTCAGATCTACTACCAATTCTTATCTGGTACTATGTAATGGACCTACACAAACCTCACTATACAGACCTTCTTTTTATGAATTATTAAATTATCCTTTCACTCAATCCTGTTCTTCAGCCTTGAACTCTAAGGCTATCCAAACCACTGTTTGACTTTTCAGCCACTGAGGCACATACAGCATGTTTCAATCTAGATTCAAGTACTGCAGGAAAGTCTCTTCTGATTTATTCCAAAGTCTAGGCACAAATCTCAGACCCTTCAGACTTGTTCACAACTCACTAATGGTACTGTGTCAAAGTAGAGCCACTATGTTGTGTTAAATGTTCTGTAAAACTAAAGTTACCTTTGTCACTTGGCCATTCCCTGAATATTTGAAGTGGGCATTCATCGTCATCAAGGATAGATTCTTTAGCACCATTATCATCAGAATGCTGGGCGCCAGGAGGAAGCATGACCTACAGAAAAGACAAAGTATAAGAAGACAGAAAGTTTCCATACTATTTGTAATAATAATATGCTTCAGTCTACACTCTGCTCATACTTCAGTTTAATTTGCTACTCAAGGACAACATTATTAAGCATATCTCATACTTTTGAGCTTCAGTATTACAAAGTAGAAAAGGGGAAACAGATATAATATGGCTTAAGTATTATCACTGCATCTCTGGTTCTTTTAGCTTTGCTTCTACAGTCAGTAGACAATTGAGGATTAGCCTTCCCCAATAATCCCAATTTTGATCAAGGCACTATGCATCTTTTTACTTAGTAAAACAGAACATTAAGCTCTTCCTTCCTACCTACATCTCACATACTTACTGCAAATTTCATAGATCTGGGAGATTGTCTGCGGAAGATTTAAGGTTGTGAGAGGGTAAAAGAGATACAAAGATGAAGAGAGCAGAGGAATTGTGTTTGTTAAATTGAAATCTGCTTATACAGCTCTTTAAAGTCTATAAAGTTATCTCCTCTGTAATGCAAATTGAACATGGATCCTGCAAAATCTTTAAAGGTTTTTTCAAAAGAATTATCTTGAAAATAGCTTATTTATTTTTACATGTTTATTCTGATTTGTATTGCCTTATTGAAGCTGCTGTGAGAGCCCTAAAGAAATAAAAGCAAGGAAAAACAAATAATTTAATTAATTTAACCAATCCAGAATAACACTTAAAGTTACTACTTGGCTACCAGTAGACAAGTCAAATCCAATTCAATCCAATCAAATAAAAAAAACAAAACATTTACTGTGTTAACACTGTGTATTGGCTAAGAAATAAAAGTATTCTCTTATCAGTAATAATATAAAGTAGCAGATATAAAATCCAAATTAGATAGCATTTAAAGATTTCAAATGTTGAGAGAAAGTTAACTACTCTGGGCCTATTTTCTTTCATCAATTTACTCACACGAGCAATACAGTAATCCTTGGGATTTTCCTTTTCCAGGCTATACTTCTCCAGTGCCTCAATAACTGCAAAATCTGCAGTATCTGTAGTAGACAGTAGGATTGTCTTGTATGGTATATTTGGTTTCAAACTGTCTGCATAAATCCTTAGTGTTCCACCTAAAAAATACATTATTTATTCAAGTTATATACTGTGATATATGATTTGCTTTCTTTCATAAATCTCATTAACTTCCCAATAAAAATTTCAAAATGAAGGATCTTTCTCAAAACAAAGACTATTTCTGCAAAACACCATGCTTTCATTAACAAATATAATCAACGTAACTATAAAACCCTAATTCTCCAAGGGCGAACTTGGCATTTTCAAAAGATAGGGCTTTTAGGAAAATTGCATGCTGTTCTCTGACTGAAGGAAGCTTCACTTGCCAAGGAAAATGTCTTCTGTATGATTAATACTCTTCAGTTGTCTTCTTTCACCAAATGATGCAAACTAGCTGCACTGAAGGCACTATTTTTCCTCCATCAAAGCCCTGTAGATTCCAGGGCCTACTACATGCATACTTTTGCATTGCTAAATTTGCCTGAAACATAATATAAGCCAAATTACTTAAGCAGTATTGCTTCTTGCAAGGACAACTTGGAATATTGTCTTAAGATATCTTCAGAGAAGATGATATATTTAAAAATGATGTTAAATATGACATTAAAAAAAGAGACAAGTGCAACACATCCTCAAGGTGCCAATTACTAGTCAAAACAGAAACAAGTAAACATGATCTAAAAGTCTTTGAACTTATTCAATCAATTCTGTTCCAGATTGAAGGTTTCTACCTTGGGAACTGGTTTTGCAGTCAGGTTTGCATTTTCTCCATCTCATGATATTCTGCCCAGATCCTTTTGTGGTAATTGGAGATTTAAACCTTGTGAAGTATACAGACTACAGTGCTACAATGTGCTCTTCACTGAGATACTTTCTGAACCATGTTTGGATTTTGTATGGGCAAAACTGTTAATAAACAATAATAGCACCTGTTCTTCAAGATCTATATCCCAATTTGCTTTTGCCTCCAATTTAAGCTTGAGAAGTGGAGATGTTCACCTTCATCTAAAGTGGCTAATCTGCTAAGAAAAATCAACTGGATAAATTAATTTTCCTCCATTCTACCATCACTATTTTGCTTTTTGAGCTTCTGCTTTCTATATAGTAAAATAGAGATTGATCTGTTAAATAGAGAACAGATCATTCAAAAGGAGGGGGAGGCATGCACTCTGAAACAGAATGCTCATTAAATCCAAAAATACCCACTTTTTCCCCCCCTTCCCAGTGTCAACTACAGAGAAAAAAGCCCATTACTTCTTTTGAGGATGATAGGAATTTATGAAGACAGTTCTCTAAGAGATGTCAATGCCAGCCTTAGGGACAGCTGAAGGACTCTTTTTCTCTAACTGCTCTATCAGCAAAGAAGTGTTAGTGGAGGTAGCAGCCAAAGCAGGGTAGGAGAAAATATAACCACTACTGCAGCTACCCCAATGCATTGCCTACTAGTCCACCCAGCTGTTTGATCAATTATCCCAGCACCTTCCCACATCCCTCTATCAACTGAAACCCAGTGCACCACCACCCACCTGATCTTCCCAGCATCCGTCCAGTCTCCCTTCTCCTTATTTAGCCACTGCTACAACCCATTGTGCCAGCCAATCTTCCCAGTACCTTCTCAACCTCCCCTCTTCGCTCACGAGGAACTCAAAACATTAAGGATGTGCATATCCCACTGGTCTGTCAAATCTTCCAAGAGTATTCTTTCCTTCACTTGGAACTCAAATATGAAACATGCACAAAAGCATATTTATTTTTTAGGGAAAGCAGCCACTACTGTCCAGACTGCTTGCTGAAATAATGGACAAATCCAATATACTGCATTGCTGTCCCAATGAAAATTTTATCCATTGTACCTAAACAATGCCATTAAACCAAAAGTTTATTGTATTCTATCTGTCTGAAATCCATATCAAGGCTGTTAACCTAACAATATTTTCCAAAGTGGTATGTGTCTCTGAAATTCCCTTTCCATGAGAAGACCATCTGGTCTGCCTCTTCCTGAAGACTAACCAAGAACCTCTGGAAGAGACTGGAGTTGGCTCTACATTAAAAAAAAAAGGGGGTCACGAGGAGTCCTTGGGATTCTCTGAGCTTGGTTGTTTTTTTTGCAGACATTTTGCTACCCGGCTAAGTAACATCTTCAGTGCATCTAACTGAAGATGTTACCTAGCCAGGTAACAAAACGTTTCCAAGAAAACAACCAAGCTCAGAGAGCCCCAAGGACTCCACAGTTCAACCATGAGCTACACATATTCTCTTCTATTGGTAAAAAAGGTCATGTCATAGATGAATAGTGGTTGCATTATTCCTAATTATGCACTGTAATTTTATTTTATGATTTCATTAGAATTTTTAATAATGTGTTTTATATACTTGTCTCTTCAAAATAAATATGATACATACATTGGATGACTTTTATTCTATTTTTAAACACAATTCTTCAAAAACAGGAAGGGAAGCACCAAGAATGCACCTGTGTACATCTGACATTAGAATACAGCACTCAGATTTAAATATTGAGAATTATTATTTTAATGAGTAACATGGAACACATATCTAAACTGTGCAAAATGGGTCTACAGGAAGCCACCGCAAAAGCTACAATACAGAAGTGTGCAAAATGTTTTAAATTCTACATTTCCCCTTTTAAGTACAAAACAATTCTTTCACACTTGGAGCAGATTGTCTCAAATATTGTGGCAGTCTTTCAAGCTTGAAACAGTTGTTTTGAGCTCAAAAGATTTATAGAATGATTAAGGCAGCTGTGAGCCTTGCAGGGTAGTCCAGACAAGAAGCACACCCAGATGAACTAATTCTACTTTATTGTTAGGTTACATTAACAGAATCTTGCAAGTCTGAATGTACATTTCACCCCCACCTTTACAGCTCAAGAAACTAGGGAGGGTCCTTTCTGAGACATTTGCCATGCCCACATTCCTGCTGCAGGTTAAGCTGCCTCTTATCCGACCATTGCTCTGGCTGTGTCTCTTCCCCATTTCTCAAGGTGATTCCCACATACCATTACATCAGCCCATTTCAGTACAAAACAAGAGTTTCAAATGCAACACAACTTGTTTGAATAAAAAAAAGTTACTGTATATACTCGCATAAAAGCCCATCTGCGGATAAGCAAACTCTTGAATTTTTAAATAAAATACCATGAAGAATGTGCCACTTGCAGATAAGCCGACCCTCAAAATTTTCGTATGTTTTAATTTTCACAATTGGCTTATCTGGGGGTAATCCACGGATTAGCCATTTTCATGGTAATTTTGGTTAAAAATTCAAGGGTCACCTTATCCGTGAATGGGCTTATCTGCGAGTATATATGGGATATACAGGTATTTTAAAAAAGTATTACTGTACATACTTGCAGATAAGCCCATCCATGGATAAGCCGAACCCAATTTCTAGGGTGCATTTTGGCACGTAAAATTCTTGGCTTATTCACAAGTATATATGGTATGTTTTGATTACAGAAATGATTCAAATTTGAAGTTTTGTACACCCTGCTAAGGCACCAATATTCCTTCACCCACCACATAAATTCCTTGATTTTAATCTACACTTTCACCTGAATCTGGCCTGCCATCAGAACTCCGAAATTCTTGCATTCTTTTTTCTAGCTTCTGTTGTCTCCGCCGTTTCATTACCACTTCTGGGTTGGATATTGTTCGAGTAAAACTGGTCTCAGGCATATCTTTGTAGACTTCTGCTGCAAGACGAGAGTTTTCACTGCCAAAAGAAATTTCAAGAACTATTAAAACATTATGAAATATGCAAGTACATATTATTTTTCCCTTAAAAAATATAAAACATATATTTTCTACACTGAAGTTATATATAAAGCATGAATGTGTAACCAACAGCCCAGGAACTGCATATGTACCTCAGTTACTTAAAGGTACATCACCCACTGGCCAGATAATCAGTGATTTATTGCAGCCATTAATGGAGGAAACCAGTCATCTGCTCCCCAAAACCAGCTTATCATCTCATCAACCAGCTTCTAGAACACTATCACAATTTTCTTGTGACAAATAGTTCTAGAATCTTAGCAATATCAAATGCATCACTAAGAGAAATGAGGAAACCTCACTGCTTTTCCATTTTCCCCCAAAATCCTGCTTAAAGTAATTCCAAGGATATTGAGGGATGAGTATGCATGCATATTAAGAGCACACATGTGGAAACTTACCACAGGTAGTCCCTGGGTTAAGAACACCCCGGTTACAGATGGCCCATAGTTAATAAAGGAGCCTATTTTAGCAAAATTTGAGTTAAATACACAATGATTCGAGTTAAATACACAATGGTTTGAGTTCATTACACAAATACTTATATGATATTATATAATACTATTCTGGCTTATGTACAAATTCAACTTAAGGACAGACCTCGGGAATGGAACTCATTCTTAAACTGGGGACTACCTATAGAGGAAAGGGCACTCATAATTCTTAATTACTGGTTACATACTAAAAGAATCAAAAGTATTTGAAATTATTTGAGAGTGTTACCTTTAAAAAGAATCATTGAACAGAGAAGTGGTATACAATATTTTGAATTCAGAAAGTTCTTTGAAAGCTTAATAGCAAGGAGGGGAGAGGCTCAGGTTCCAGTCCACCCTCAATGACTGAAGCTCACTGCATCATTTTGGGCTAGACTCTCTCAGCCCAAACTAACTCAGAGAGTTGTAGTGAGAAAAAATGGAGATAGGAGTACTATATTATACATACCACCCCAAGCTCCTGGAATAATCTTTTCCCCCCTTGGGGAAAGAGGCAATTGACTAAGACAAAAGCAGCCTAAAGGTCAACTGGTGCAGGAGGGCACCAGAGACACTCTACAGACTGTTCTTCTATGTGTATATTCTGTTCTGCTCAGATTGTTCTCCTTCCCCATGTTGCAAATAATAAAATAAAATCTGATAATGCATTTATGTCCCTAAAAAAGAGATAATGTATTTTAGAACTGATTATAATATTCCCTTTTTCCAAGTGTAAAGTAACAGGTTAAATACGTTAACTTAAATTAACTTTAAATAAGTTAAATTCAAAGAAGAAATTTTTGTTTGCACTAAGAGGCTTTACTTCCATCTTTTCTGCACAGCAACTCACTGTATCCTATAATATTCTGAGAGCGGTGCAACTCTCGAAGTTGCCATAAGATACATTAAAGGAAAAGAGAAATACAGGTAGTCCCCAGTTTAAGAACCAGTTCTGTTCCCGAGGTCTGTCCTTAAGTCAAATTTGTATGTAAGCCAGAACAGTATTATTGTATAATACTGTATAAATAGTATTGTATAATTAACTCAAACCATTGTGTATTTAACTCAAATCATTGTGTATTTAACTCGAATTTTGCTACAATAGGCTCCGTTCTTAACTATGGGTCGTCTGTAAACTGGGCGTTTTTAATTATTGTATAATACTGTATAAATAGTATTGTATAATTAACTCAAACCATTGTGTATTTAACTCAAATCATTGTGTATTTAACTCGAATTTTGCTACAATAGGCTCCGTTCTTAACTATGGGTCGTCTGTAAACTGGGCGTTTTTAACCCAAGGACTACCTGATTCTGTTTGCACTGTTATCAAGTGGGTAGAGTTTTCTATAATACTTCAAGTACCAGGAACATAACACTTATCTCCCTTCCCTGAAGTTGATCCTTGGTAATCACGCAGCACTTCAGCTGTAAGCCACTATTTTGCAAACTTCCTATAACTATGTTGTTAATTATGGGTCACCTGTAACCCAGGTGTTCTTAACCCAGGGAACCCCGTGATCAGAATCTGAGAGTGGGGACCATATTATATGAATGGAAATGCTGTTCTGCACGTAAAAAACTTTTTAGTTCTACCCCATAATCAATAAGTTATGTGGTAAGAACCTATCAGTAAAGTAATAAAACAAACCCGTATTTTAACAGTTTCTGTAATTTTATGATTTGAGACTCACATATCATCTCCATGAAATGGCCCGTGATTGTCTAAAGCTTGTTGCTGTGCTTCTTTTTCTCGCCTCTTTTTTTCCTTCTTTTCTTTCTTTGATAGGGTCCGCTTAAAGTTTTGGATCACTCCTTCTTTTTCTTGTTTTTCAGGGCCATTGCTCTGAGCCTTCTGAAACATGCCAATTTTATTACTTTTATTATTCATTTAATTATATTATTTTCCAAAGCAGATACCTCTTATTTGGAACATAAATACCAATGGTGATGAGAATTATAATTTATACATTTGACAAAGAGTATACTAAAGGATCAGAAAGAATGGTCCCAACATGTGACCAAGATGATTAACACAGAATGATTACAATTCATTCACAATGCTGAATGAAGTTTGGCCCTATGTGGATACAGCTACATGAGTTTAAGATATGTATCAGTGGGAAGCTTCTCCAAAATGACAATTTTTACATTGTCTGGAGAATGACTATTTTTTATTTTCACAGAATTCAGCTTTGGTGTTATCTTTCAACCAAAGATTCTTGTTTAAAAGAAGTTCTGATTATTTTAACAAACCAATTTCATTTTTCTTGGCTTAAAGCTGGCTTACTATTAAACTGTCAGAATTGATTTCAAACCAAAATCCCTGATTTGAGCAGGGTTTCTGTAGAAATTAAATTTCCAAAGGGGTGTGCACAAGCCCAATATTTTGGTTCAGTTCATTTGGATTTGCCAGTATATTGATAAAACATAGTTCAGTGTTACATGCAAATGTGGATGATCTTTGACTCACGTTCACAGACCCAAACTGACTATGTTATAGACAAAGAAGTTGTTTCAGGGCACATATATTTTTAGCTAGCAAAGAATATCTGTAATGGAAAAACCTATATTTTTTTCTTGATTTTTATTATAAAACATCAATACATAAGATGTAGTTCACCAATATTTACTGTCTATCAACCTAATTATCAGAATATATGAATCAAGTCAGCTTACTGAATATTAAAAAAATACAGTAGCATTCTAAGAATGTTATTTTAAACAAAACCAAATGAATTAGAATGCACACATGAACATTCAGTATTTTATCACACACAGAAACATGTAAAATCTGTAGTCACTATTTTCCACATGCCTATGGAATTATTTAACATTTCCATTCCAACAAAAACTTTCTACTGTTTAAAAGCAGTACTTGAATCAATTAGCATTAACTGCTTAATCCCAGCAGTTAAGCTAACACTCTGCCTAACAGAACTGTGCCAAGACAATATGACTGTCTGTAAAGGCACATTCATTGACTACAAAATGAGAATACATTTACAAAAAACCTACAATATACTGACAGTTAATATTTATAAACATAGCCAAGAAAGAATTCACACACAAACGCAGGTCAAATATATATTTATATTGCTGCTTTTTACCTTTGGAGGAAGCGCATCATTTTCATTCTTAAGCACAAATCTTCCTTCACGATCATCTTTGTTCCAATTTAACTGTACAACTAGAGGCTTCTCATCTATATCCAATCTTCTTTCTTCTTCAAAATAAGAGAAAAAAGGCAAGATCAATCACTGCAGAATACTGACAATTAACACAGAAGTTAAGAAATGATACAGTAAACACATTTAGTTAACAGGCTGATCTTGTACCACAACGGAAGACTGTCAAGTCTTTCAGTTTATCAAAATGAATAAACTACTAGTAATTGTGTGCTGCCAGAAAGTTAAACAAAGCCAAGATTTAATAATTACACTGCACCATGAGCAGATTTTTATTCCTCTACCCAAGTCCACTCTGCTTCCCAATTTAGGAGATTAAATATGAAGTTTTAAAACTTGAACCAGCCATTTCCCACCTGACTTCCATCAGATGTGTTAGGACTACAATTTCCAAAATTCCCAGCTAGCACAATCTTTTCTGGATGAAAATTCTGGGATTATAGTCATAGTACATATGAAAAGCATCATATCTGAAAAGCCTGCTTTGAACATTTAAAGTGTGCCTAAAGGCTTTAAAAGCAAGCTGTAGTTGTCCAAAACCCAAACATGCAATGCAATGTTTTAAAAATATCAGCATGCACAGTTTAAAGTTTCTTCAATAAGTGAGAAAAAACTCCCCTTTTTTACTAGTCTTTTTTTTTTTTTTCACCATGACCTTAAGAAACATCTCCTTCCCTGGCAACACAAGTTAATACATTACTGTCAAGGGGGTCATTTTGCTTTTAGTCATCCATCTATTAAAAAGCAGTCATCCAAATTATGTACAATTATGAAGAGATCAGATTTAATAAGGTCAAGATTTAAAATTAAGAATGAATGCAAGTCATTTTAAGTTCCTAAAAATTCTTAAGCTAACAGCATATAAAACAATGCTTCCTCTAAACTTAGTTGATACAATTATCTAAACCTAACTTCAGTTTACTGATTTTTATTCTAGTAACTACTGTAGTAAAACATATTCAAAAGCCATGTTCCTGAATCAATCATGAATTAAATAAACAGTTTCATTGATGATGATGCTATCCATTCAATTGTCCTTCATTATAAATATTTAAATAGTACCAGAGATCCCAGATCATCTCATTGTCCTCACAAGAAAACGATATACAGGCCAGGAAGCCAAAGTATGGACAGAATATGGTGAAACACACTGGTTCCAGATTGGCAAAGGAGTGAAACAAGGCTGTATACTCTCCCTTTATTTATTCAACCTATATGCTGAATTTATATTAAAGGAAGCCTGATTGGAAGATGAGTGGTTTTTTTAAAATTTGGAGGAAGAAATATCAATAACCTGTGCTATGCTGATGATACTACTCTAATAGCCAAAAATGCAAATGATCTGCAAGGTCTACTAATAAAACTCAAGGAACATGGAGAAAAAATGGGACTAAAATTAAATATAAAGACGACCAAACTAATGACAATAGATACAACAAGCAGCCTTAGAATTGCTAATGAAGATACTGAAGTGGTAGATACCTTCTGCCTTTTAGGATCAACCATCAACAGTAAAGGAACAAGAAGTATGCCACAGACTACCACTTAGCAGAGCAATCATGAAAAGATATTCAGATGCCATGATGTGACTATACGTACAAATACCACAGGTATTCCCTGTGACACTCTATGGAAGTAACAGTTGGACTTTGAAGAAACCGTATAGAAAGAATATTGACTTTTTTGAACTTTGGTGTTGAAGAAGGCTCCTGAGAATACTTTGGATGGCCAAGAACACAAACAAATATTTCATCAAACTAATCAATTCAGAGTTTTCACTTGAGGCCCAAATGACCAGACCCAAATTATCTTACTTTGGACATATTATGCAAAAACCTAGCTCTCTACAGAAGGCTCTAATGCTGGGAAAGGTAGAAGGAAAAGAAGAAGAGGAAAACCTGCAGCAAGGTGGATGGACTCAGCTACAGTGGCAATGGGTATATCACTAGAAGATCGGGTTAGGGACAGATCATCATGGAGAAAATCTATGCGGTCGCCATGAGTCAACAATGACTTGATGACCCATAATCAATCAACCAGTGTGAGAGATAGAGTCGCAGGTCACCATAAGCGACAGTCATCTCTTTAAAGCATAAAACACCAGTCAGCTAAATAATAGGCCAGTAAGATAAAAACAAGTATTTCCTCTTCTTGGTACCTAGGTAGACTCCAACCTGAACTTTTTCTATTAAGCCAAGAGGCAAAAAGTAAAGAAACTGTCAGGTTTTTGCCTCTATAGAAAGATCCTCTTCCAGTTCAGAAACACTGCCAAATTTATGTCATTAAAGGATTAAGATTGGAAACTAATTTTATAGATTATAGAAAAGGTCCTTTGGAATTGTCTTGTAACAATTTATTAAGCTGTAAAAAATCTGTATGAAGAAAACTACAAAATGCACGTTAAAAGTGGTGCATGAAAATCTTCCACATATCAAGAACAAACCTTCTTCTGTTGCAGCAGGAGCATGTCTAGAATGGAGTATGAAAAAGCAGCATGGTAACAGGAGTGAAATGTGGGTCTTTTATTATAGAAGGAGTACATTTCACAATATTTGTCTTCCTAATGTTGGAGATGAGGTTATTAGCTTCTAGTCTTCATTAAAAGTTTAGCAGGAGATAAGTGGCCTGTTCCCGAAATGTTAACCTTCCAGGGAGGATGGGGCAGAAAAGCAAGAGAAAACTCTCATACAAATCTGCTCATACAAATCTCTCATACAATCTGCTCATACAAATCTACAACTCTCATACAAATCTGCTCATTTAATATTGCATATAGTCCATCATTAAGTATTTGAATATTTGACGCATTAACTTGTTTTGGAAACTAGTTATATTCTCTCTATCATTTGATGACATGGAAGGTAACACCTGCATTCCAAATTATAGGTGTAACCTCTGAGTTTGCTGACTAAAGCAAATGAAATGGAAGTCAGAAAGTTTATGTATACTGGAATTGCTTCTAAAGAGGATTCCGCAGACTGGTCCACTAGTTGCACTCAGCATGGATCCATACTGGAATCATCAAGCCTTCTACTGACTGGGAGCAGGAAGACAATATTGGCTTTTTATTTATGAATTCGCTAATAAGTCTCCACAGCATAATGAAGAAAGAAAAGTGCTTTGCTACAATTCTTGTATTTGTCAGTCTTTTATCTTCATGAATTACTTGTCATATAGCTCTAACATTAAGGTAGAGGAGAAATGAAAACAAAAAGGGCAAAGCAATAAAACAGATTAATAAAGGAATGAATAAATAAATAAATAAATAGGGTGAGAGGAATGGAATCAATAACAAAAACATGGCAAAATGAAAAATCTGGAGACTAAATTGGTTAAAGTGCTATTTTTTTTTAACCAGAGAAATATTATCTACCCAGAAGAAGCCTATGATCATATTTCATTGAGATGTCCAGAAAAAAATCAGAACACAATATCCTTGCCCTCCCCTTCTAAATGTTGACTATACTGGTGGCCCTGGCATATAAGTTCAGTATCAAATGTGGTACAAAGCACATTATTTGCCTCACATTACTTTTGTGAAGTGACATCATCATGCTACTGACATAAATTACACAAATGTAATCTGCTTCATTTGAGTTGCCATGATTATATATTTTTAGATATAACACACTGCTGGGAATAACCCCTTCCCCCAATTTTTATGTAAAATAAATGTAAATATTCTGAAAGATAAAAGCATCATAACTGAGTGAAACATTTTAGAAATTACACAGTCTGCACATTATAAATGCATTAGTGATTTGTATGCTGTTACAGCTGGAGAAAAAGGGGGGAAAGAGGGAGACATTTGAAAAAGAAACACATACAGGTCTGGCTTAAAATCTAACTACTTTCAGTACCAAGTATGAATGCATATTTCTGAAAAGTCTGTAGAAAGATACCTTCTGTTTTTGCATGATAATGTTGAGGTCTACGTACTATTCTTATGCTCAAATATGCCTTTCCTTTGTGCTTACCACAAAACTGATTATTCTATTTTAACTTTTAATTTACTACTGCTTGCCAATTGACAAAAAACAATATTTATATGAAAATGTACTAGCATTTCATCTATTTATTAGCAAAGTATTGCATAAGATCCACCAGTTTTATGTTTTATTTTATTTTAAACATACCTATATATTTATGTATATGCATGGGATGGATTACTCAATTAATTCAAAAACGTAAGCCCAAAAATTCTACATACACATATGCACATAATGAAGGTACGTTTTTTCTTCTCAGAGTCCTTCTGCATAATAAGAGGAAAGAGACAATTGTTCCTTCTCTATGTAAGGGAGGAGATTTTTTTTCTCCTATGCAGAAAAGGGCACCCAATGTAAGAGAGCAGGGAGCCATTGCTTTTCTATTTCCCCTTACAAATGAAAAGGGGTGTCCATTCCAGGTACACATAAGACAGTCCGTATTTTTATAGGAATAAATCATTTACACTTCATAAATATTTGTATGTATTCTTTCCCCAAAACATCTTTCTCACCAAATATGTAGAAAACCATTTCCTATCTTAACTGAGCAGCTATTGTTGCCTTTCCTTTTTGAAGCTAAAAAAAAATCAAGCCTTATATAAAAGTCAATATCATGCAATCCTCCCCCACCAGCTTTAACTTAGTGCCCCTAAATTGCAACCTACTGTCTCCAACAGGAACCCAGGAAGTGTTCATTTAACCATTGTCCTCCTCAGATAACAAAAGTATGTCATTTATATCACAGGAACTATACAGTTAAAACAAGTTCTCTCTTATTTAAGCTATTTAAATTGCACCAATATTCTTGATCTCAGAGGAATAAAAATACCACTTTTGTTTTTTAAAAACCCCAATGTAGATACTATCAAAGGTGAAAGACACAAATTAAACAACTTGCAGAATAGAAGAGCAAAGATTTTTTTTCACAATAAGAATCACGACAAACTGGCAAGATAATGAGGATTAAACATTCTGTTTTCAGCTTATGAATTTTCCTAAGTCATACCAATCTGATATTTTTATCTTTCTGAAACCTACAGACATGTCACCGGGAATCCAAAGTAATAATAACAACAAAATTCTATCACCCACACCAAGTGAAATGAGTATGTCTTTTAATGATGATCTTCCTACAATAATTGAGAAAGCAACCTGAAAGTTTATGTTTTATAATCAAATTCCACCTATCTAAGGAAAAGTGCCTTTAATAAGGCCCCATTTGCATACGATATCAAATGAAACAGCTTATTCTAGAGCACTGTCTCTAAGTCTGCTAAACTTGGATTCGACAGTGCTTTATAAAAAATATTGGCATCCTGAATGGGTTTCTAAAAATAAATGGGAGCTGAAAGAAAACTTATTACATGTGAGCCTTCCTCTCTATTCCTGTTAGGAGGAAGACTATTATATTCTGCGCCAGCTGAAATTTCCAGTCCATTTTCAATGACTGTTTCATTAGCCAAACCTTTAGCATAAAAGAATTCAGATGATGATTATGATTAGATTTTGATCCCACCTTTTTATATATCATTCAAGGCAGCAAACATGAGTAATACTCCTGCCTCTTATTTTTCCCACAACAACAACCCTGTGAAGTGAATTGGCTGAGAGCGAGTGACTAGCCCAGAGTCACCCAGGTGGCTTTCATGCCTCAGGGAGGCCAAAAACTCAGTCTCCTGGTTTCTAGGCCAGCCTCTTAGCCACTACACTAAACTGGATCTCAATAGATGACCATTACTTTAATACTGAACACTCATGAACTGCAATGGCTCCTTAAAAAAAAAAAAAAAAAAAAAAAAAAAAAAAAAAAAAAAAAAAAAAAAAAAAAAAAAAAAAAAAAAAAAAAAAAAAAAAAAAAAAAAAAAAAAAAAAAAAAAAAAAAAAAAAAAAAAAAAAAAAAAAAAAAAAAAAAAAAAAAAAAAAAAAAAAAAAAAAAAAAAAAAAAAAAAAAAAAAAAAAAAGCTTCACAGCCATAATCCCAATATTCTAGGCATGTTTCCTAAAGTGACCCAACTCTGAACAAGCCTCCAATCCTTCAAAAAGTACTGTAAGATTTACATCAATGAAATATGTGGAGATTTTTTGTGATCCCACAATCCTACAAAGGTATTGGAATATTCTGATTTTATACATTTTGCCTGCTAACCTATTTTGACATTCTTAAGTTTTACTATGTCACTGCCAGTTTTTTTCTCAAACAAATATAACTGCTGAAATTGAGTGAAACAAGGTAATCTCTGAAGCCTATTTTTTTTCACTCTTGCTGTTATTTAAGAGCCCCAAATTGAATACACTAACCTCCACTGACGTGCACCTCATAAAGTGAATATTTTGGGGATGATAACATTCGCATATCTGGCCGGAATTTTTCTGCAAGTGTTTCTATCACATCCTGAGTTGTGGCAGTGCTAGACACACGGATACACTTTGTTGCAAAATTTCCAGCTGCTTTGTCTTGAAAATAAAACCTCATAACTCCATGGAATTCCAGATCCTGCAATGAAATAAACAGAGTCAATTTGATTCATTTTGATTAAAATAAGCTTAAATATGATTGTTTAGACCAACCAACTGAATTACTCTACACTAAGTAGAAAAAGTATATGAATCCAGGGGATATTCTACTTTAACAGCAAATAATCTGTAAGCACAAGAATATTAAACTGGAATACTTTGACATCAAATGGGTGAATTTTAGATCAGTATAACAAGAACAGGAATAAACTAAAAACTCTTGGAGACTGCCAATGTTTTAAATTTCAGTGTTTTTCATGGAAGGTACATTACATCTTTTAAGGACCAGTGAACACATATATTATATAACACTAAAATGGCAAACATTACTACTTTGACTGTGTCTAGAAGATCCTCTTCAGCCACACACATTTCTACTGCCATTCCTAATGCTTTCCAGTTGTAGTGGTACTATGAAAAAAAATCCTTGCTCAAAATAAAAGTTTTTCAATATATCTAAATCTGAGGACTCCTTCTTAACATCCAAAAATCAGGAACATAAGCTACTATTATTTCTAGCCTTGTGTATTTTTTCAATACATTTCTTTGTATTTCACTTCCAGTGAGATCAATTGTTTAATTAGTGCTGATCATAGAAAGATGGTGCATTTAGTCAAGTTAATTAATCTTGCTAAAAAAATGTACAACTCCCATAAGCCACAAGCAGACAACCACTTGAGAAGACAGGTGTTGGACAAACTGGCATAAACCTGGTGCACTTAATTAGATAAGGAAAAGTGAGAGGCAGGACCTGGTCGTCTTATTGGCCGCTTCCCAAATGCCTTGTCCTTAACTCTCTAGAGGAAAAATTGGGCAATGGATGAAATAGTTGTTCCTGTTGGCACTCCTGACATTCATTCTTTCATTCATTCATTCGCTAGGTTATGGAAGATTAGAAAAGTTGAGGCTTTGCTCAAGGCTTGATGGGCCAGAGCTTCCATTCTCTGCACTATTCTGTAAACTGATCATACATAATTCAGAATTCTCAAAATTAATACTTAGAATTATTAAATTTAGGAAAATCACAGCATTACTATTTCAACAGCCTTATAAAACTGTTTTTAGTTATAACTGCTTAATTTAAGCAGTCAAACTGATTGCCACTTTAAATTCTCAGGAACAATTAAGAAAGAACATAATAGTTCATACACATGGACCAAATAGACTTTTTGTCGTGGTACAAGAACATGTGTTATAACTAAGAATCTGTGATAACTTAGTTCTGTCTAAGCAGTAAGTAGCATAACAACAACCATTAACAACTCTCAAGACCTTACTAGCTAGCGTACATATTTGAAAACTGCCACAACTATAAACTTTCTACTTTATTTCAGAACTGCTGTACTGGAAAAACATAACATGATGATTAAATTATCTAATCAATAAATAATCTTAACCAAATATTCAAGTATGTAAACACTGCTCATCAAAAAATTCTTCAGCTCTTCCCTGTTAACATTGTCAAAATGATTTTTACTATGAGGGGCAGTCAATTTTTAAAGCAATATATGTGGAACCTCAGGGCTGGCAACCTGGAGCACTGTAATAGCTATAAGATAACATCATGATATATTTCAAAATATACCCAGCCAATTATATCAGAGTATTTTAGCTCAATGCAATATTTATATAAGGCTGACAATGTAAAATAGCACATCTATTGACTGCAACTCGATGTGCACATAAATAATGTCATTCTCTACTTCTCCCAGCATATGCTCAATTTGACAAGTATTAACTATAGCAACTACATAACTAAGGCCTCAACAAATGGAACATAAATTGCGGTTACATCACATTCAAATACCTTCAGGAACATTATTAATACCTTTACTAAACAATGCAACTACAAGTAGCAGTTGTTTTTAAAAATTTTCTTCACTAAATCAACTGCTACTACAGCTTTGAAGGCATTCTTCATGAAAAAAGCTGAACTGTTAGCTGTACTTTTATAATAAATACTGTCACCCCATGACAATTAGGCTACTGACAAAAAGTGGAAAGGTTACTGGTTAATCTAAACAAGCCCTCAGTGATCTTCCCTGCCATAAGCAGCATTGTGATTGCTGTAGCTGAAAAATAGAGAATTTAGAAAAGATGCAGAAGCAGCTTCATACTCTCCAGTAGCAGTATCATACTGAGATACTCATGAAGATACATTACATTGGGATACTTTATTTTCTTATAACATTAATAATCAGCTTGAAAGTAAAATGGACTTGTTGTCAAGTACAATCCAATTTATTAAAGAGCATCTGCACAGAAAGAAAAACACCCAACTCCAGAAATGACAGCCCAGACCTTTTGCTGAAAAGCAAGCAACAGCTTTGAAAAATACAAATGAGTACTCCTCAAAATCTTCAGATTCAACAAGAAAGAGAGTCTTGAATTAAACCCCTGAAGAATGATAGAAAGCAAGTATATGCTTAAAAAAAAAAAAAATCCGGTAACTGCTTTTCATCCCCTACCCCATCCCACCTTTCAACTCATTCCTTCTTAATATTCTGTCACTAAACACATTCACATTCAACCCTAACCCTAACTCTCCTCAGGAGTTTTTGATACTTCTACAAATTTTACAATACCTCCAATTTACATAATCTCTTATATGATTCTGACTACAGAAAGATACAGATACACAACAAAACAATGAATTTGACTTCTTTTATATATGATAATATTAAGCTTGTAAAACTTGGGAATTCCAAGTCAGTTTCCTTTGCACCAAAATAGTTTGTTGCATAATATTCTATCTAATATGTATATATGTTTTGCATTGTTTGCTTATTTTACATTCTAGTTGTCTTTAAAAAGTACAGACAAAAGTCTTATGCAATGCTCACTTCTCTCACCTTGTTCACCCCTGATGGCCCACTCCAGCCTACTCCCAAATCAAGAAGATTCCCACCCACCCCAAAAGAGACATTCAAATGATCTATTTCTCTATATTGTATATGTGCAACTACTTAGCAAAAGTCACTCCAAAGCTATACTGATTAAAAGCAATTGCTTACAAAATAAAATAATCCATTTGTAAAAATGAAGTTGAGAGAGAGAGAGAGAGATGGAGCAAATAGAAAGGGTAATTGCATTAGGAAAGGAAGGAAAGAGAAAGGGGGAATAAAACTGGATGGAGATGAGTCAAAGGAAAGAAATAATTGAACAATAAAAGGAGGAAAAGTGACAGAAGTTCTGTTTAGGTATTAGGAAAAGGTTAAAATCCACAAGCCATTAGCCCCTCTCAACTGAAAGCTAATTTTCAAAGGCATGTGTGTTCTGAAGCCATTTGCACTTCCTTCCTAATATTTGCTTTTAATGGAAGCATCTTCTCAGCAAATATAAGACAACCCCCCCTTCCCCTAATTCACAGGTAATTATGGGGGAGGGGGGGAAGAGGAGATTTTGTCTTCCTAAGAAGTACACATAAAGTCTGTTTAGCTAGGGCTAGTATCTGGGTGAATGTGGTTTGCTAGGTTCCTTAGCAGTCAAAGCTCCATGAAGAATGAAAAAACTGAAATACAGCAAAAATAAAAATAGATTTACAGATTTACAGACTAAAAGAATAATTTCAAAGACAATATGAAATTAATTGTGCTAATATTGCCATGTTACTCTTATCAGTGAAATGGCACCAGTAAAACTACTGCATGAGCAACACATACAAATACAAATACAAAGCTTTCCCTATTATTTTATTTTGCTTTGCCAAATCATTAAATTACATGTTTGGGACACCTACCTTTAAAAGTAATTTTACACAGAATTTTCTGAATAACTGTTACAGTTTACTAAAACTAAAGTTATTGTGTAAATATGGGAATAGCTTTCCTGCTTTAAAAAAAAAGCTGCCATTTTAATTCTGCAGCTTTTTACACATGCAGATATTTCTCGGGTGATCTTAGCAGATACGTTGTAAGCACACTTAAGAGAACTAATGCACAGATCCACTTATTGAACAGAACAAATTTCTTTCACATATTATAACTTTTTAAAATAAATTTACAATAAACTGCAAGTTTTTTAAAAAAGAAGACACTTAAGATTAGACCCTCCACACACAAATAATTTGGGATCAAATATTTAAAGTAGGAGTACACAATCTATATCTTATTATTTATTTATTTATTTATTTATTTATTTATTTATTTATTTATTTATTTATTTATTTATTTATTTATTTATTTATTTATTTATTTATTTATTTATTTATTTATTTATTTATTTATTTATTTATTTATTTATTTATTTATTTATTTATTTATTTATTTATTTATTTATTTATTTATTTATTTATATTTCCTACATTTTTCTCTGAGCACACTGGGAAAAAAAGGTATGGTGATTTTGAGGTTGGGAACACATGAAAGTGGTAAAGTAAACCTTAAAGAAGTTTAAGAAAGTTTAAATATAGAAAAGAATTGTCATTCCACTAATTTTATGTCACAACACTCCTCATCCCCTCATACAAATATTATATACAACCTGTGTTTACCAAAATATTGCCAGCTCCTAATTTAAAGCATTCATTTTTAACAGATAATCACATAGACTTCTGTAATCATAAGAAGTATCTCTTCAATCATTCTAGATTGTCCAGTATAATATTACATTAACAGAGGGCCCCTCTTCTCTGCAATAAATAGAAAATATTTAGTGACAGCCCTAAATCTTGAATAGACCAATATTAGCATATGCTTGCATATTTGCATTCTCTTGAATACTGTGTTGTTCTTCAGAAACATCTGTAAATAAGACACATAGTAAGGAGATGCTCTGGAGAGAACTCCTTGGCAAAGGGGTAACTGCTCCCAAATAAGTTTTATGTGATCTGTCAGCAGTACTAAAATCAAGGAGTTCCTTATTTCTGCCCCTGTGGTATTAATCTAGCAAGAAGAGATTAATCCACAGCCAATTCAAGTATATCCTTAATACAGAATCCAGGTAGTATTTTCTATTCATACTTGAAATGCAGTTAC